ACATTTTTGAATGGAGAATGAAAAGACCTTTCAAACAATATATCACAAGCCTATACTTCTTATTTTAAAAATTGTGGGTTGTACCTGTCATTCTAAGGGGGTTGAAGGTAGGGGTTGCATTTTCACGTTAAAAAATGTCAAGTTATAATTTAAATTTGACGTGTTTCGGGATTTTTTATAAATATGTACAGTAACCTAAATAATGAATTTATTTCATTTGGCTTTTACACACTGTACATCTAGAAGGCGATCTCCCCTTCTTCTTTGTCCTTTGCTCCTTTGTTTCTTTGCCTCGGTAAAACTAGAGGAAGTGGATTAAAGGATAAGAATATAAATTGGGTATTAGATATTTAAGACTGAAAAATGACTATTATATAGGGTACGTTGTATCTAATTTGATTTAATCAAAAAAATATTGAAAGGGATAAAGGGTGTAAACGGAAAATGCTGAAAAAAAAACAAAAAGAAACGATTTATTGATCTATAATATTGTTTAGATCTTTCTCTAAAAAACGTATAAATATCAGAATAAATACACACTAAAAATAAATAAGTTGAGAATTAGGGATTTCTACATTGTGTGCAATCTTCCATTGCCTCTTGGAATTCTTCGATTTGAAGGGTCATCTCGAAAAAGTTATATTTTTCATGAATATTTTTTGAAGCAACCATTAACACATTTTGGGGATTGGTACCTGAACCTAAAAAATTAAAATCAATTAAATAATGACTTTACTATGATTTTATTTAGCGTATGGATAATTACAATACGATAAAAGTAATATTTAGATAATAATTATGTTCAAATTGGAATTGTAACCTAAGTTAAATATTAATGTCCAAATTGCACAGTCATTCAATTGCACCAGGAGAACACTCTGCAAAATCTTGAAGGTCTCCGCTGTATCTGCGGATTGGGCAATCCGCAATGATGTGTTGGAAGGTCTGTCTCGGGGATCCACAATCACATTGTGGGCTTTCTGCATGACCCCATCGGTATAGAGAATCGGCACATTTGCCATGACCCGTGCGTATGCGATTTAATTTTGTCCATATAGGGCGTGGCAGGTTTCATCCAGTGAAGCCGATCGACGTACTTGTTATTTTGATGACGTCTGGCTCTGTTGTTGGCATCCATCTTTTCGTCCACTGCTCTTGCTTATTGTAGCTATCACCCATTCCCTGAACGGATTGGACAGGGGGTCGTCTGGACTTCAGTCTTTGTTGGTCTCGTGCGGCGTGCGGAATATACTGGTGAATTGGCAGACGATTATTTGCCATGATTTTCTGATATTCTCTGACAAGTGCTGCCGTTCGTCGAATATCTGGAGGTGCTATATTGCTCAGAATTGGAAGCCATCTTAGTGGAGTTGATTTAATAGTACCCGATATTACTCTCATAGTGTAATTTAGTTGAACATCAAACTTGTTGACATGAGCGCTATTTAGCCATACCGGTGCGCAGTATTCAGCGACAGAATACACCAGGGCCAATGAGGAGGTTCGAAGTGTATCCGCAGTGGCACCCCATGTCGTTCCAGCAAGCTTTGTTATTATGTTGTTACGGGTTCTCACTTTGGCAGCTACATTCGTAAGATGGGTTTTGAACGTCAGTGATCTGTCGAGCGTTACACCCAGGTATTTAGGGTTGTTATTATGTTTCAAAGTCTCGCCATTGAAGGTGATGCTAAGGGTGTCATTCGAACGCTGATTTGTGAGATGGAAGAGGCTTGTCCCAGTTTTGTTTGTATTAGGGCGAAGTCGCCATTGTTTAAAGTAGTCGCAGAGAACCCTTAAGTCTTCGGTAAGCGCCCTTTCTCCAACATCTTTGGCTTGGTTTTGAAATGCGATAGCCAGGTCATCTGCGTAAGCAAATTTTTTTGATTTTGTGTCTGGAAGATGGGAGCAAGTGAGTGGAGCAAGCACTGAACCCTGTGGGAGGCCATTATTTAGCTTTCTGACATTGCTCTTTGTATCGTTTATATATACTTGAAACAGTCTGTTGGATAGGAGGTTATTGATTAGTTGGCAGGTTTTCAGGCATGGTATGACCTTCATTAGCTTGTAGATCAGGCCTTCTCTCCACACAGTGTCATATGCAGCCGTCAGATCTATAAATGTTACGGCTGTTTTTTCCCGTTTTTCGAAACCGGCTTCAATAAATGTCGTTATGGACAGTACTTAATCACTACAGCTACGCCCGCTTCTAAATCCGGCCTGTTCGACTGGTATCACAGTGTCGGTGATGGGGTATATCCTGTTATATATAAGTCGCTCTAGTAGTTTGTAGCAGCAACTGAGGAGGGCAATGGGTCGATAGTTTTTGGGTAGTTCACCGTCCTTTCCAGGTTTTAAAATTGCAATAACTTTGGTTCTTTTGAACTCTGGAGGTAGTACAGATGTCTTTATTATGTCACTAAAAAAGTCTTTGAGCCAGTGTCGCGTTTTTGGACCACAGTGAATTAGGAACTCAGGATACATTCCATCGAAACCTGCCGCTTTGCCTTTTTTAATTTGACTGAGGCCATCGTTTATTTCGTTCAGAGAGAAGCATCTTGAGAACTCTGAAGTAGGAGGACTGTTTGTCTTAAGTTCTTTTAGAGCTTTTTTTGTAGACGTCGTATGGATTTTGTCAGAGGGGCACGCGATACTTCAACTATTCTGTTAGCTATTCTTTTCGGATCGATACTGTTCTTGTTCAAGCGTTTCTCTCTAACGGCTCCACCTAGTCTACGTAGCAATCCCCATGCCTCCCATTACTATGATGACTATATATCAACGGAAGAAATCGTGCCATTTTATACACATACAATTTCTTCAATTTTTATTATTTTTATATAAAAACCTACATTTACAAAGAGTTTAAACCTATAGTAATATAGTATTGTCACGTTTCATATATTTCAATTACTTACTTATTGCTATGTGAGCTGACATTGCTATTTTATCTAAACTTAAAGCCCAAATTCTCAAATTATGAACCCTTTTAACTCCTTCAATCCTCAGCAATGTGTTCATAACTTCTTCGAAATTAACTCCTCTAGGTAATGCTTCCATTAATACCAATAACGCGTCTTTGATGATGGCAAAGGTAGTTATAACGACCAAAACGGAAAACAAGAACGTACAAATTGGATCCACGATCATTAGATCTGGCTAAAATGTAGAAATGTTTTGTGTTACTTAACATTATAAAAAAGAAGGTTGTCTTATACTAAATACAGTTGAAATAGCAATATTACAGAGATATAAGAATATATGTTTTTTGCCAACAATTTCCTAGTAAAATGGTGGGAAAAGTAACGTAAAAACTATATCTATCCAAATTTTTTATTTTGTCTAGGTTTAGTAGAACTTTTCATACATTTGAATGTTATATTGTTATATAGTGCAAAGCTATTGCCTACCTTGAAATAAATGACGATAGCAGCTACAAAAACTCCAAAACTTTGGAGGAAATCGCCCAAGACGTGAATGAAAGCAGCCCTGACATTAATATTTTCCTCATTTTTCCCGTGATGTCCACCATCGCCACCACTGTGAGTGTGTCCATGTTGGTGTAAAGTTATACCCATTCTACAAGATAGACGATATTAGTTGTAATTTTAACTGTAAACAAAGTTTATGGCCACTTAAAATTAAGGATCAACGTCATCCAGAAATCGTACTTAATATTAAAGAATTAAAAACGTTTTCTGGCTAAACAGTAACAGCAAAATCTATACCGTATAATATTTGCAACGAGTTTATGCTGTTACTTATTTATTGCAATTTGTATGAATGCTAACAACTTTTTTTAGGATAAGTTGGCTGTGATTGCTTGTGAGGAGGGAGTTTTTTTACTATCATACGTATGGACAGGCTTATCACGTTCAATGCATTCAGCATGTTTTAGCAGGAAACCAAAAACTGCTTGTTATGTTTTGTGAAAACATGAAGAAGAAACTTGATCACATTTGATAAGCAATTTTTTTTTAATATATTATTTAGAGACAAAATAAATTTTCATTCCGTCAGTTTGGACCAGAGTAAAAATAAAGAACGTGATAAAGTGGGAATAAGGATTTATGTATACCTGTAAGAAACCCGGTTTCTCCAGAAATTAAACTAGATATGTGATGAGATGTCATTGGTTTGTGAGTTTTATTAGTTTGCTTGGAATTTCATCTGGACCGGTTGCTTTCCTATTCTTTGATAGCTTTATAGCTTTTTCCATTTCATCGAGTGTTATGTTTGGACTAGTCGATATATTTTTGATTTGAATTTCTGTTCTATCGTCATCAAACAGCTCCTTAATATATTTTTTCCACCTCTCTAATCTGTCTTGTTCATTGACTATAATATTTCTTTGTTTATCAAGTAAACTACTTGCAGTTGATTTATGTGTTGTAACATTTTTTTTATTATTAATATATTAAATATTTCTAATTCCTTTTACCCCCGTGCGATACGCCTATGATCGTGTATCGATAGCAAAATATTGTAGATACCCAGCTAAATGGAATTCCCTAATTAGGAATGGTTTTTAATCCTTTCGTCATAATATTCATTATGAAAAGAATATAATGCGTTTTGGTATGCAGTTTCCTTTTCATAAATTGGTAATTTTCGTCGAAGGCCCGTTTCTTTTGACAATAACTTAATCCCAAGTATTGTCTGTTTCTATGTCCAATTGTTAATACCGATTAGTTTACCTCAAAGTTTCCAATAGTCGTTAAGGCCTTACCTTGTGAGAAACACATACAACTGTCCTATCATTCTTGAGTGGGGGAATATTTTCTTCTTCCTTTTTCAGGGACAGTTGGTGAAATTTGGAGTGGAACCAAGTTACTTGTTGGTGGGCCGTTGTTGAGTTAAGGCCAATATCTCGTGTTACGCTTTGCTCACTTTATTTCTTATCGTACCGTCTTTGTGAATTATTTTCTAAGTGTGTATACACTTTATATTTGAGTTTTCTTTCCTTAGACTATATTAAATTATATATAGTTCTACACTACCTTTAATGGTTATTAAATTCAGTGTTTAGTACCAGAAAAGTATTAAATTCAGTGAATTAAGCTGCCTTCGTCAAGATCTACTGTAAGTAATTTTATCTACAATTATCTGGGCGAGTAATATGGTATGGTACCATATCACCTGCCATTATCTGGACGTATCATCTATATCTTCACCTGAAGATTGCCGATTTTTAAATGTAATTGAACCATTCAAGAAATTTCTATAAATATTACTTATGAACATACAAGTCTCAGTTTTTTATTAAATAATAGTGCGAGATAGTTAATTGACTTAGCCAAGTGCGGTTTGGTTTATGTTTTCATTCTTGTAACCTTTTTGTTTTTTTTTGTAAATTTAAAGTTAAGTAATTTTTGCTATCTTTTGTATTTCCTATAATTTTTGTTCATTATCTTTCCTATGATATCTCGAGATACGCCAAACTATATTTGTATATGATTGCCTTATACATCTTGGTAAAGGTATTTTTTATTACATTATAGCTTAATTTTATACATATATATAACACCATTTCATAGTTGTGTATTTTTATTACCTGGGTTGCATTTAGCAGCATCATAATTTTGTGTTTAATATATTGTTATTGTTTTATGAACGTATTTTATTTGTCGGCTCCTAACAAGTTCCCTGATAAAATAATAGCTGTGAACAATTACTATCTTTAAATATTACTATGCTTTTGAACTGTAGAAAGATCAGGCTGATTAAGTTTCGTAGGTAAGTAAGTGTAATACTTAATATATTTATTATTTGTTTATATATTGCGTTGACCAGATTTATTTAATAATTTACCGTTGGTATCTTGCCTTGGGTTTGATCTCTGAACCTAAATATCTTTTCTTATCTCTTTTCTTTTCTAAGGATTTCTTAATTTTCTCCTTAACCCCAAAAAATTGAGTGGCGCCCTTCTCTTATCTTTGGTAATTTTACCCATCTATCTTTTTGTTTATTTCTGTATCTTTTCTAATATCTCTTATCCTATCTTTACCTATTTCTTCCGTTGGATCCATTCCCGGTTCCAAAAGCTAGTTTCGAACCCACGACTCGATCTCCACCAACCATCTGGCTGCCGTCCGCAGTGTCTCCATTAGTTATCTTTCTAGCACCACCCAAAAAAGATTTCCGAGGTTACAGTGTTCCAGTTATTTCTTTCACCTTTTTGTTCATATTAAACGTGTTATGCTTTTTCTGCAGTTCTTCTATTTCAAGACATCCATTGTTGTTTGCGATTATTAATAGTTTTATACTTTTTAGTTGTTTCTTGCATAATGCTTTTGACATGATTCCAGTGGTCTTCGACGTTATGTGTTTTCTTCGATTTTTCGAACTTCTTTTTTATCTCTTGTGTAATTTCATGACTACATATTATTTTGAATATAATCAGTGTTTATTCGGTTAGTCGGTTGTTGGAGTTTTACTATTTTAAGTTTGAGTTTTATGTCACTGATTAATAAGTTATGATCTGAGGGGACATCGGCTCCAGGTAGTGTTTTAGTTATTTTGATTGATTTTTGGTACCTCTCATTAATTGTTATATAATCGATATAATTTCTTATGATCTTTTCATGCGTTTATAAGAAAAAAATCGACATGTTTTTGCAAAATTATTTTGAAATATTTAATATTATTTATAGCATAAATCCTCTTGTTTCATAAGCTACCTTTAGAATTTTTTTTATTAAAAAAAAAAGTTTAAAACATTGTGCGAAAAGTATAACCAACAAGTTGTTAAGTTCGGCTATATTTTAAAATACTGACTGTTAATTTACTTGTTCTTGATATTGTAGGCAATAGCCTTCTTTTGTTTGACAGAAAAACCTGAGGGTGATGTTTTTACACTCGGAATATCCAATTGACTATTTTGTAAGTATTTTATTGTTTTATGAGTTTTTCATCGAGTTAGAATCTATGGAAAGGGGAATCACGTGACTAAAAATGACCTCACTTCGGCCATATTGGTATGATCGTTGCGTTAGATCGTGTATGATTATGCTCATAGCTTCTCCATAGATTCTTACTCGATGGAGTTTTTATATTGTGTGATGGATGCAATACATATGCAACACACAATACACAAATCATAATCTACGATAAACACAAATTATATAAATACACAAATAATTTAAGAAACATACAAATAATCCTAAAGATGTTAATATAAGAAATATAATCTAGATACTTACATGATATTAACAATAACACCGATAGCAGAGGTAATCAACATAACTTTGGAATCGACTTCGTAAGTTTTGTAAATGATTCTTTGTACGGCCATATAAACTAAGATGCCAGTAACAACCCAAATTAGGAGTACTGAAGTTAAAGCACCAATAACTTCGGCCCTATACCAGCCGAATAACATTTTTTTCGTTGAAGGTCTGTTGGCCATGTAGAGTGAAAATAGGGAAATCATAAAACTGGCAAAATCTGTTAGAAGATGAGCTGCGTCTGATGCTATTGCTAAACTGTTTGATAAATATCCCCCTGAAAAATATAATAGAAATTAATTAGTACAATACTTTTCCTTTTAAAAGATAATAATTATTGTTTTTAAACTACGATAGAGGAAATTTAAACACACCTTGAGTCAGGTTTAACCTAACGGATTAAAAATAAACATAACACACAGAATTCGGTGATATCCGTAGTTCATAATGACTAAAACATTAGTTGGGAGGAAACTACGACAGGAGGAAAAATTTACGACACGCATTAAGGACATTTTTTAAAATATCAAAAAAGACCTAACCTAGCTTTGACTATTTTTTAAATACATTTTAGTAATGAACCTTTTAACTAATATATTAAAATTTTTAGTTTATTCCCCAAAAATATGGCCAATATAGCTTTAAAACAATATAAAGATTTTACAAAAATATGTTGACCAAATTATGAAAGCCAACTTATCTATCAAGGCATTTTAATTTAATACCGAAGTAACTTGAATAAATAAAAAAAAAAACATCAAAATTGGTCCACTACTTCCGGAAATATTTAAAAATTTTCAGACGAATTTCATTTGAAGTGCAAATTTCACTTTTGAAAGCGACGAGTTCATTCTCCCCACCACTTTTCATATTTGGAATTATTTGAAACTCGCACTTTTCAAATCGGTATTTATAATTATAAAATTAACTATTTTCAATTTTTATAATAGTCATTCTCAATTATAAGTATTGAATGTTGTATTCGCACAGTTTCATTTCTTAATATTAATAAATAAACAAATGGTGAATTTCTGAAAAAAAGGTTATCTCGGTCACAAATGGTCAAAACAACTTTTTTTTAATTGTGAAAAATTGCCCCGTAAAATGGGATGTACTTAACCGCTGGGGTGAATTTTAGTAAAAAGTTCGAAAATGTTTTCAGCATGAGTATTTTCTTTTTGTTATTAGTAAAGTTTATGCTAATTATGTTTATTGTAAATGTATGTTGAACATATTTTATGTAAAAATTAAAAGTTCTTTTCTTGTATATACTTAAAACGCGGCCTCGAAGTTGTTAACTTAATTTATAAGAAAATGAATATTCTTAAACTTTGATATAAAAATAATTATACTAAAAATATTATTGGCAACTGTTGTTAATATTTTAAGGAATCATTAAATGTAGATAAAAAGACCAGTTACTAATTTTGAGTAAGTTTTAAAATTTAGTTATAATTTAAAATTATGAAGATGTCCATCAGATTAAAACTTGCAGGATGGATCTTGATACATTGGATCTTTGTTTAACTGCAAAGCTTACCTAGACCGTCTTGGTAAACACTCACTCTTTAAAAATAATTTTCCTGGGTATGATTGGGCTAACTGGAAATGAAAAAGAATGGGCACAATATCGTAATTGTCGGAGTATATGCCCCAAACGAAGATGCAAATCCAGAAAGTAAAGACGATTTCTACGACAATATGAATGAAATACTCTCTGAAGTTAAAGAAAACTGTGAAATCTTTATACTAGGAGATTTAAACGGCAGAGTAGGGACAGAAGAAAATAGCAGAGTCGTAGGAAGATATGGAGAACAAATAACCAATGACAACGGAATGCGTCTTAGAGATTTTTGTGAAATAATGTCTCTCAAAATTATGAATGGATTTTTTCAACATAGAGACATCCACAAATTTACATGGATACAACCTACTAGGAATCTGCGCTCGATAATCGACTTTGTCATCCAACGTCAAACTTCCCAGCTGAAAACAACTGACGTAAGGGTATACCGTGGATCAGAATGTGGATCCGACCATCATTTACTTATGGCCAATGTGATAGTTAACTATCGCAAAAACAATAACAATCAGGTACAGAATATAGAAAAGGGACAAAAAGTAACATCTCCTAAATATAACCTAGAAAGCTTAAAAGAAGATTCAACAAAATTTCTTTACAAATTACGACTGGCCACAAAATTACAAAATGTGGATCGAGAAAATATAACAGCGGAAGAATTATACCAACAACTTAAAAAGTACATTCATGAGGCTGCAAGTGAAGCTTTGGGGTATAAAGACAAACATGAAACAAAAAATCAAGAATGGTGGTCGGAGAATATGCAAACGTTAGTAAACAAGAAGAAAACTGCTTATCAGAAATGGATGTCAACGAGAAAGGAGGAAGATCACAAGGTATATACGAAATTAAATCGAGATGTAAAAAGAGAAGTAGTGAAAAGTAAAAATGAGATGTGGGATCGAAGATGTGCAGAGGTGGATAGGTATATGGGTGGAACAAGAGTTGGGCAAGCGTGGAAGGTTATAAAGTCTCTCCGGAGGGAAGGAAAGGAAAAATCTAACTTCAAAGTAATAGATCTGAAACAGTGGAAACAGCATTATGAGGTCTTATTGACAGAGGATAGACGTAAATTCCAAGATATCGAAATGGAAGAAATATCTGAACATACACAAATAATTGAGATAACAACCGGAGAGTTAAGCGATGCCCTCAAAAGATCGAAAAACGGTAAAGCAGCAGGACCTGGAGACATCCCAATTGAGCTGGTAAAGTATGGACCAAAAATATTACACGAGATGATGGTTAAACTATTTAACAAATGCTTAAAAGGACAAAATATCCCTGATGATTGGAATGTTGGATACATCAGCTCAATATACAAAAAAGGGGATAAACGCAATTGCTCTAATTATAGAGGAATAACTGTTACTAGCTCAGTTGGGAGGTTGTACGGTCGAATAATTAAAAAACGAATTGAATCAGAATATGAAGACATAGAGGAACAAAATGGATTTCGGGCAGGAAGATCGTGCATTGATAATATATTCGTTCTGCAGCAGGTAATCGAAAAACGGAAGGCAAGGAATCTATCTACCCACCTATTGTTTGTAGATTTAGAGAAGGCATATGATACGGTACCTTTGAAAAAACTATTTTATACATTGACGAAAGTAGGTCTCAGTAGAGAGTATGTGGATGCTATCGCAAATATATACAAAAATGCAAGAAGTGTCATTAAAGAAGGAAACTTTATATCTGAATCATTTCCAATAACCAAGGGGCTTAAACAAGGATGTTGTCTGTCTCCGACCCTGTTTAAAATATATATTCAATCATCGCTAGAGCAGTGGAGAAAACAAGTATCCGGAATGGGAATAGACATAGGCGGTGAATATCTAACAGCTTTATTTTTCGCAGATGATCAGGTAGTCGTAGCGAATGACGAGGAAGACATGGACTACATGTTTAGAAAACTAAAGAAAGAATATGAAAAATGGGGCCTCAATATGAATATGGCAAAGACAGAGTATCTTAAAATAGGAGATGGTGAAGAAGATCCAGAGTTAGAAATTAGAAACACAAAAACATGCAATGAATATAAATATCTCGGATCTATAATATCTAAAGAAGGCACTACCAAAAGAGACATCGAAAACAGAACACAGCAGGGAAAAAAAGTGGTAAACATTCTAAACTCTCTACTTTGGTCTAAAGATATTAGACAAGAAACGAAATTGACAATCTATCGAACCTTGGTAGAGCCTATTATGACTTATGGGGCAGAGGTTTGGCAGATAACGCAGAAGGATAGAAAAAGAATAGAAGTAGTAGAAATGGATTTTCTAAGGAGAGCGTGTGGTATATCCAAAAAAAGATCACATCAGGAATGAAGATATTAGAAGGAGGACAAATACTGTATATTCCAGTGTAGATAGAATTGAAACGAGACAACTAGTGTGGTATGGTCACGTGAAACGAATGAATGAAGATAGATGGCCAAAGAAAGCTTTAAATTACATACCACAACAAAGAAGAAGAAGGGGAAGGCCTTCAGTTGCCTGGAAGAAAATGTACGGCACATAATGAGAGATAGAGCCATCAGAGAAGACGAATGGATGGACAGAAAACGATGGCGGTCGAAATGCGAGAAACGGCAGAGGCTGTAGGAACCTCGCTTATATATATATATATATATATATATATATATATATATATATATATATATATATATATGATTGGGCTAACGGGTTTCTAGAGAGACATAAACAAACTTTAAGGGAAATATATTACCGCCTCATGTAATTTATAAGGCTAAAAATGTATGTGATTCTTGGAGCCAATAGTGACTATCGTCCCTGATTAATCAATCAACTGATTCAAATAGTGACTACATCTCAACAGTCTCTAAGATGCTGCACCACAAAACACCACCACCTCAGTTGTGTTTATCGGTCTGATTTGCTTTTGTCCATTACAAAAACACATTCAACTCTAGCCTGATCCAACGATCCTAAACCGGTATTCACATGTTCATTCCTTTTCGAAATAAAAATTTTCCTAACCTATCCTGCAAAATGAACACTGAAAAAAAATTTATTGCTAAAAGTTTTATTTGGTTAATTTCAGCTCTTAATGTTGTTAATTAATGTAACAGTGATTTAAAAAGGGGCTATCTTTTTCTATAAAAGAAAAAAGGGAAAAATTCTACGGAGTTCTTTAAATGTTTATAAGCTTAAAAAGTACTGTTTATTATTAAATCATTTTGTGTATATAAATGTAATTTTTTATCTTTTTTTATAGGTTATTAGTATACGTCTTAAATAATAAAACAAGCTCTGGATTATCGAGATCCAATATTCAATAAACAGCGATTTTGTTGTTAATTTTGCAATAACTTTTTTGTTTATTAACCGATTTTAATTTAGCATATCTTAATTTGTATATATATATTTTTTGAAAAAGTTTGCTGTTGACGTCAAATCTCTAAATAGACTATTTTTTAAATAATGAGCATGATAATGTTTTGATTGTTTATTTTAATATAGTTCCACTAAAAAATCTCTCGATGAGAGTCTTTTTGTAACTTACAATACACTAGTGAAGAAAAAAGGCTTAGCTTTGCTAACTTGATTGGCCTATACCCTATACGTGCAGAGCACGTATCCAAGAATAATTATTTTAATCGTTTTATAATTTAAAATATTAGGTAGCGAGCACGTGAGTGGGACCGTGCAAGTTCGGAACAGCGACAC